ACCCATCGGGCAAAAATAAAAGAAAAGTAAAGATCCACAGAGGAAGAAATTCCATCAATCTCTCGCACTCTGTTAATCCAAACTTAATGAACATGTTTAACTTTTTGGTAGCTAATAAAAGCAAACACCAATAAATTAATTAATAAAACATTTTTTCTCTTCCCTTTCTTCTTCTTTTTTTAAATGTTGAATAAACTTTATAGTGAATTACTTTCAGATACATAATGAAAATATTCGGAATTTCATTTCGTTTAATTTCCTTAATTTTTAATTGAAGAAACATAAAAAAGAATTTAAGGTCATTGTTTCATTCATATTTTGAAACATGCCTAGTCGGAACGGCTATAAGATAAAGATAGATAGATGAAAAATCTTTCGTATTCAGACAAAAAACTAAACCCAGGGAAAGATGATTATGAAGCCCACGCAACATCGCGAGATTGAGGCAACGATGAAGAAAAGTCAAATCTCTTTCTTTTTTTGCTACTCTTCTAAGAATTGTTCAAAAAAAAAAAGAACTTACTAAATTGACTGAAAGAAAGAACCTGTCCTTCTCGTTTTTTCTTCTTGCTGCCCAAAAATTGCTTTTTAATTTTTTTGCTTACATTCGCAAACTTATAAAAATCAGCAGAGCAAAAATGCACGCAAAAATCATTAATGTTATCGATATTTGCTCACAGGTTTCCTCTCCAAAAAAGATCTTTAGCTCAAAGCTCTACTTCTTCCCTTTTTTTAAAAAACATTTTCATAAAAGTAATTAATGATATATATTATTTAAAATTGGCTTGTTTAAATGAGAAACCACATGCTCGATTTATTCTTTTAATGCCGTTATTAGCATGCATGCTGATGCTTCTGTTACTGCGTTATGATGTTACTGCTATTAGTTGTGTAATGAAAAATTGTTAATTGAAAGAATAAAATGTAAGAATTAACGTGTGCTTTAAGGCTTGGAAGCTTCCACACACAAATCTTCCGTTAATTTATTTTAGAGGGTCGTTAATAACTGAAATCAAATTATTGAAGGGTCTGTCTGCACAGACCAATTTAGTATTCATTAACATTCCACAAATTAAAGGAAACTGTAGAACTATTTAAATAAAAAGTCTTAGCCTTGATATGATTTACAATGATAAACACGTGTAAAATTGCGTTAAGAAAAGGATAGATTTGAGCAGCATTTAAGTATGAAATGAAGAAAACGTGTTACATTAAAGTAAAGGGAATGAAGTGATTGTGAATTGAGTCGATATGTGTATGATTATAAGCAGCAATTGATATTGATTAAATATAAGACAATTTGTAAAAAAGCACCAAACACATGTGTTTTAAATAATGTACGTTGAGTGTGGTAAAAGAGAAGCAGAAAAGCTGTCTATGAAATTTATCTTTTTGCCGATGACAAAAAAAAATGAAGAAATTTATGTAAGTCAACTAAAATATCTGGTCCGAGGTTTATCGAACTCATTTTTAAAAATTTTAACATACGAAATCATTTATATAAATTTATACTTTTTTCTTCTTCTGATTCTCTCCTCTTCTGATGATCAGGTCCAGTCCAAATTTTTTTTTTCGTTTGGTATGATAGTAGTGGTGGTTTGTCCAGTTTCATTAATTTCCATTCCAGTTTCCGTGTGATGTTTTTTTATAAGCGAGAGTTTGTTTCTATTTCAAATAATAAATTAAATTATTTCTTCTACATCTAGAAACTTTCCTCAAGACTCAAAGCCACATGATAGATCTAATATCCATTTTTGTAACTGACGAGGCTGTGGAGTGTATGTATTCCCGTTTTTATTCCGAAAAAAACGATGCGTTGGCATTAAGCGCGCGTTGATAGAGCGAATAAAGATGTGGAGCGAATCGATTGTGTTTCGATGAATTTACAAGGAAGCGAACGACATCTTTACCTGACAGTATTAGAAGTTTCATAATGTGGAATAAAATCCATCTAATGCTGTTACAAGTAAGATGTAGCATGGCTCCTTTAAAACAAACACATAAAACAATCAATTAAATATGTAGCACGTTAACATGTTGACACATGATGGTATGTTGTTTCCTCCGTCTCCTTATTACCACATTATTCTATTATTTTATTATATAATATTCATAAAAGGAACAGAAATTATTGTGCGGTGCTGTTGTCATCAATAACAATAAACTATTTCCACCCTCATTCTCTGTCCGTAGCTTGTCTCGCTCTCGCTATCGCACTCTTACCATTTCTAAATGAATGTTGAAATGTATCCATATCATAACTCCGTTTATTTCTTTTTTTTTCGCTCAAATTCACTGAGAGCACACAAACACACACAGCAAAAAAAGTATACATTTGTTATACGCTTAATTAACTTAATTATTTAGTTAATAATCACACCCATTTAACCAGTTTATTAAATTTTTTGCCTCTCTTTCCTTTTCTTTTCCTTCCCATTCTACAACTATTTAAATTTCGATGTCATAGAATGACAATTAGGGACTCAAAACTGTTTTATTTTTCTCGAAATGAAAGAAACAATGGAAAGGATTATTGAATTAGTATCGGCATATTAGTCTGGGAAGAAAAATCTATTCAATTATGATTTTTGTAAAAGTACTCAGACATCCTATTTAACTCAATTATGCCAACTTTTTTTTTATGTACATGATCATCACCCCATTTAACGAGAAATCTTTCTCAGCAGTATATAGGCATTTTTTTATCAATATAACAAGTATAACGGAATATACGGAATGTATTAGATTATAATACAGTTTATCAAAAAAAAAGCTCGTAGACTTCCCATGTGCTCGCAATATTATTTTTTATGACCCTCTGTGAATCATATTGGACAGTTATGGATTAAAAAATATCATCCAGTAGCATTTCTTGCCGGTTTTCGACATTGAGAATAAGTTTTGAGTTTATTTGACTTCCCCATAAGCAAATTTCTTCCAAATTTATGTAACTTGATAAAAAGAAGTGTCTTAAACATGGATTTTACAAAACCGAAAGAAGAGAACACAGATAATATGAATAAAATGAGACGAATATTAGCGACTTGAAAATCTGTTCGTAACATGCATGAAATAAAACGCCAGTAAAATGATATGTAAAGAGAGACCCGAGTTATTTAAATAAAATATTAATATTAGTTTACATGTGTCTGCATTTGGCTATAACAATTTCCTTTATCACGAAAGGCCTCGCGGCAGCAGAGTAGTAAAAAATGTAAAATATTCTGTACATTTTTCATATTTCTTTTTTGATTCTTATTTTGTGATTGCAGAAATTGGAAAAATCAATTGAAAGTGCTCAATTTTTACTCAACGACTTTTTGACAAGTAGAAAGAATTGATCCTCTTCACATTATGTCGATGATATGAAGAAATTGAGTCCCAATAATTTAATAATTTTTTGCTGTGTATGAATACGTATTTGATTACTAATTAATTTAATTAAAAACTAAAGTCACAGAAAACAATTGATTCGATTGATTAAGAACTTTTATTATTTTATTTTTTGACAACAACACATCACATTTTTAGAATTTTAGAAAGGAATGAAAAAAAAAATTCCTTCTTAACGATATGACATTCCCGATACGACTAATTCAACTGACTTGCGACGATCAACTGAGTGAAATGAATGAATTTTTTTCGTTTTCAGCTTTTTTGCTTGTTGTATGTTATTTTTTTTTTATTTTTATTTTGTGAGAGTGTTTAACACTGCTCCCAGGCGGTGTATAGAAAACTAAGTCTATGTATGTTATCTCTCTCGCTCATTTTCCGTAGAATGTTTCTTTGGTAACATAATAATGCAAAAGGTCTATTTTTTTGTATGAATGTCATAAACAAACTCAACTTCAAAAAATGCACTTAGTGAAGCATAAAAAATTTTCTTTGATGTATTTAACATATTTTCAAACAACTCCTTTCACACTACTCACTGGGGCTTTATTTTTTTCAATTCTCACACTTCCCATATTCTCGTTTGCTCAGCAAATGAAATAGAATGAATATTCATTATCAGTATGGTATAAGTTGACAACGTGGTTTTTGTGTGAAAAAAATACTTTTTTTCATTCTTCTTTCGTTTAACATGCCTGTCGATAAGGATTTTTTTCTTTTTTCAAGTTGGGAAAAAAAAATAAAATACAATTTATAATGTCTGAAATGCGATGAGAGGGTCATTGGAAAGGGTCATATTGTGAGATAATGTTAATAGAATGAAACATGAGAGATAATATTATCAGAAATTAAACATTTTGTTGCTTAGTAAGATTATTTTTAAAGCCTTATCGCTTGTTCCCAAAGATTTATGATTTCATGATGAGAGAAATTAGTGAAGAAATTTTGTCGCTTTACACATTCTTGATTTCTTCTTATATCAAGCACTCTTATTTTTTCTTCTGTTTGTTTGTCAACCACGTGGATTTATTTGCACATGTTAATTTTCATAACGGTTATCCATGCTCAAAATATTTGAATTTTTTTTTATTCTTTATTTTCCAAAACCGTTATTTAATTCAACATTTTAGTGGTAATATAAAACTATATGTCACATTTAAATTATTTAAAAATGCTTGTTCTCTATAAGCGAATAATTATAAACATTTTCAAATAGAATTGACAATGAAACAAGCAAAAAATCTTTCAATCGTAACGGGTTTCAAAAATTCAAACTTTTAAAATAAATTAAAAACAAAGGATGCGATGAAAAAATCAGGAACTATTTTAACTTTGTTCACACATTTTTAAATAGCTAGAAGGTCTTAAATAGACGCTAAAGCATTAGAAGCATATAATTTAAGTTTTATAATGATATCACTGGTCTACACTGAGGAAAGACTATAAAATTCAGCTCAGCAAATATCAAGATGTCACTATCAAGCATTAATAATTGTCCTGGCTTGAAAACAAAACTTTTGCTTTTTAAATTCAATAATAAAGTCTTATTTATTGTTTTCCTTAATTAAAGCACAAAAAAGTGAATTTAGCACAAAAGTTGATTAAAAATGATGTCGGAAACACTTTTTTCTCTGGAGCAATCTGTGAGTATTCGTGAAAATGTCAATTTTCCATATTTTAACGACATTTCTTCCTTGCACAACATAAAAATTTATAAATATAATTAACATAATATCATTTGAATAAAAGGACAACCGCACAAATAAATCAAGTTCTTGTTTTCGAGTGTCACATTAATGTCCTTTTATAACTGAAATTCATAATTTTTGTGCATATAAATTGTTTGTCACACCCAATGTCCTTTTCCTTGTTTTTCTTCTGTTTTTCCATCATGAAAATTGTTGAATTATTATGTTATATTGATATTGATCGTTGGAATCTGAATATTATTATTGAAAAGTTATTATTGAGAAAAAGGATTATCCCAAGTTAAAATTACATTTTTGTTATGTGAGAGGATTAAAATAAAGTATGCTATTGTTACATTATCTAAGAAGTTATGGGCCTTAACGCAATGAAGCTTTTAGAAAAGGAATTTACCATGTACGAGCGGTTGAACTACGGAAATTATCGTGTTTGGGCGTTTCGAATTAAGATGATTTTGATCAGGGAAGATCTATGGGATGTCATAGAACCAGGAAGCTCAAAACCAGAGGATGCAGTTAGAATCTTGAAAGCATTGGCGCACATTGTATTGATGATTGATAATGATCAACTGGTCCATGTTTCGGAAGCAAAAGATGGCAAAGAAGCATGGGATTAATTGAAGAGTTTTCACCATAATGATTCAGTTGGACATAAGGTGAGGCTTTACAAGCAATTATTCAAGACTGAATTATCAATTGGCGGTGACATGCAGAAACATTTGCGAAAATTGTTAGAAATTGTTCAAAAGATCAAGGATTGTGGTGATGAGCTTGAAGACAAAATGGTTGTGAATGCAATTCTGTCAAGTCTACATGCTGAATATGATCGTTTAGTGACTGGATTAGAATCATGGAAAGAGAAGGAGCTAACTGTGCATAATGTTAAGCTCAAACTTATCGATGAATGGGAAAGGCGAAGTGAACATGCAAGCAAAAGATCTGATGTTTATTGCGTCAAAAGTACTGAAATTGATATGAAAAAACACATCATGTGCTTTAAATGCAAGCAAGAAGGACATATCAAGCGAAATTGTCCAATGTTGAATATTGAAGAAAAGGAAGAAGGCAAGGATGAAACTGTCAAAATGGCAAAATTTAGAGAGGATAAGTCAGAAGTCATCTCATGAAATAAATAATAGCAGCAGTGATTTGGTGCCGTTTCCATTTTCGACTGATGTAAGGAATGATGTTCAAAGTCAATTCAAATAATTCTGAATTGTTCTTTGATGCTGAGGACTCACAAGATGAATATGAGGTAGAAGATCATTTAGATGATAAAGATATAGATCAAGAACAAAATGAACATGATATTTTCGTTGATCATAATTTAATAAGTGATCAGAATGTGTCGGTTCAGGAGGAGAATGAACAAGATAGTGAAGTTAGAACATCGAGCAGAAGAAACAAAGGACAAAAACCTGACCTTTTGGTGATTTTGTCACATATTCTTCAAGAATTGATTTTGAGCCTAAGACATTCAAACAAGCTATGAATTGTTTTGATGCCAGTAAGTGGAAGATAGCTATGGAAGAAAAGATTAAGTCAATTAATCAGAACAAAACTTGGGATCTCATGATGTTGCCTAAAAATAAACGTGCCATTGGCTGTAAATGGGTTTATAAGCTTAAACGAGATGAGAATGGCCAGGTTGATTCTTACAAGGCAAGACTAGTTGCTGAAGGATTTTCCCAAAATTACGGAGAAGACTATGATGAGGTGTTTGCTCCAGTAGCTCGATCAACAACATTTAGGATTCTCATGTCAGTTGCTGGTGTCAATAATTATCATGTTAAACAATTTGACATTAAGACAGCTTGAATGGTGATATCGAGGAGGAGATATATATGAGGCAACCACCTGGATTTGAGAACGGAAAAAGAGTTTGCAAGTTAAGAAAAAGTCTTTATGCTTTGAAGCAAGCAGCAAGAGCATGGAATAAAGTTTATCATGAAGCAGTTATTAATTTCGGATTCAAGCAAAGTGAAGTTGATAAAAGCTTGTACAGCATGAAGAGAGGAGTTGATACTTGCTATATGATTGTTCACAGAGATCGAAGCCGATTTTTTCGGCTTAACTCAATTTTTGATTTTTTTGATAGAAAAAAGCCATTTAACACCCATTTTAAGTATTTAAATTGAACTTTACATGCTTTACTATCATTCTGTGAAATATTTTTTCAGCATGTAGCTATAGTAAGCTCTGAATTTCAATTTAGCCGATTTTAAGCCGATCGGCTTAAATTTCGGCTTAACATTCTTTAACTTGAAATTCTGAGCTCACTATAGCTACATGCTGAAAAAATATTTCAAAGAATCATAGTAAAGCATGTAAAGTTCAATTTAAATACTTAAAATGGGTGTTAAATGGCTTTTTTCTATCAAAAAAATCAAAAATTGAGTTAAGCCGAAAAAATCGGCTTCGATCTCTGATTGTTCATGTCGATGACATTCAAGTTGCTTCAAATAATGAAAAATTGATAGAAAGTTTTAAGAATCATATTGGAAGACAGTTCGAAGTAAAAGATATGGGAAGTATAAAGCATTTTTTGGGAATTGATGTGAAACGTGTGTGAAGATGGAAATTTTCACAAAAGTCAGAAACGATATATTGAAAAGATTGTGGAAGAAGCTGGACTGAATGATGGAAAATATTCAAAATATCCTTTAATGACTGGCTATTTTAGACATCATTATGAAAACTATTTAGAATCAAATAATGAGTACAGGAAGCTCATTGGTAAACTGTTGTATGTTAGTACGAATACAAGAACTGATATAGCTGTATCTGTTGGAATATTGAGCCAAAAGATTTTAAAACCAACGAAGACCGGTTTGATAGAAGCAAGGAGAATAATTCGCAATCTTAATGGAACAAAGAGTCTAAATTTGAAGTTGAGTGACAAGAACAAGGTTGGAAAATTGGAAGTTTATTCTGATGCAAGCTGGGGATGGGGGATAAAATCCCCGAAAGATATTAATTCCACGATCCTGTGAGATAATAATCCCGAAAATCGCAAATTTTTAAATGTTCCCTGCGAGATAATATTCCCACTTAGAAATACACGTGGAATTATTATCCTTCCGGAAAGATAATAATCCCACCTATAATTACAAGTGGGATTATTATCTCCCAGGTAGATAATAATTTCACTTACATTACTAAGTGGGATTATTATCTTTATGGAACACGATTAATATTATAGATTAAATCAAATCCAAAAACTTATTTGTCATAGTGGATAATAATTCCACTTGTATTAATAAGTTGATTTATTATATAATAGGATTTTCATCCAAAAAAAATCCCACTTATTAATTTGTCAATTTCATTATTCCAAAAACTTAAATAAGAAGAAAACATAAATATTGGTTGAATGTTTAAGTTGAAAACTTGGTTTTTATGCCTTTTGTAAATTTTTTAAAAGTCTAGAGCCTAGATGTTTAATGTATCAAAGATCTATTCACTCAAGAAATCATATTCACACAAAATTTTAAACTTTTTGTTTTTGCAAATAGTTTTGAAATGAAGTCTTTCAAAATTTCATTGACAAAAGTCATTGACAAAATTCGAATTCATGTGATGCAGGATAGAGGATGGAGGGTTTTTTGCTTTTTTGGAAACAATGCCTGTTTCTACCTTACCCAATAAAAAATAAAGCCTTATCCTTTTTAACGCAGAAAGAATCAAATGCAAGAATTAGAAGTCTCTAAGATGCCTCGTTTTTCAGATTTTTTCTGATTTACTTGCCTTGATGCTTGTTTGCTTACGTATCATGCGATTTTCCCATCAATGCTACAGCCAATTTAAATTCTGTTTTTGCCCATTTTCTTTTTTTTCTCAAAATGCGAAAAACTGTTTTTCAAGCTGAACAAAAATAAAGTGAATACGGTGTGAATATCTCAAAAATCTATTTTAGGATATAGAAGTTTTTCGCATTTTTTTGAGAAAACGAAGCAAAATTGGTTATAAAAGGTCAAGAAGAAAAGTTTGTGCCTGAAATTTTACATCATTTTCAAAAAACAGATTTCAAATTGGTTGTGACATTGCTGAGAAAATCGCAAAATACGCTTTCTGTAAGCAAACAAGCAAACAAGCAAGCAAGCAAGTTAATCAGCAAGAAATCTCAATAACGAGACATTGTAGAGACTTCTAGTTTTTTACATTTGATCCGTGCTACTCTATAGAAGAGCTGTATTGTTTTTGGGCAAAGTAGGAACAGCCGTTGCTTCAGAAAAAGCAAAAAACTTTCCTTTCTTACGAATTTTTCAAAACAAAAGTTGACTGTGATTTTTATAAAATTCAACTTTGGATGAAAAATTTTTTTTAAAAACTTTTAAAGAATGTTCGTTAAGCTTTAGACCTTCAAACTTATGCTGAGCGAAGCTCAGTTGACTTATCAAGCTTCATACCTTCATACTTATGCTGGGAAAATCTTGGTCTATCCATTAGACTTTTGATGGTACGGTGTGAATATAATCCGCATTGGGTTTCTGCCCGATACACTAGTTCTGACAGGTTTTATTTTGAGCTTTTCTTTAAAAGAGCTCAAGTTTGAAAGAACTTACAAAATATTTCGTTTGAATTTTGTACGAATCATTTTAATTATTTGCTGAACATTTTCTATAAATTTGTGGCCATCAGTTTGTTTAAGTAACCCTGTATACCTGAATAATCAAAATAATTTCGAAATTTTGAGATTATAAACAATCAAATCTCTTAAATGTTCTAGAACCATTGGAAACCTTCTTGGGACTTGTAGACACGGTTAAACAGCATCAGAACTGCCATCATTTTAAAATTCTAGTTAATTTAATAGGAATTTGAGCAACAGAATTTTAATTTTGCGTCCTTTTTATGTTTAAATCTTTACATTTTTCTTAGCAAAATGTGTAAACAAATATTATCATTAGATTTATAAATCTAATTTTGTTAAGGGCAATTTACAATTCTTTGAATAACTTTTGGAAAATTTCAGGAAAGAATCGAAAATTTATTATTTTGCCCATTAGAGGTTAACATATCTACTCCTAAACATTTGAACAAAACTGTGATTTTTAAACAGTCGAATGAATGAAGCGAAACAAAATGGAATTACGGGTACATTTTCTTTAAACATTCGAGCGAATCTCGAACATAATTTTATATGGAATAGCTAACATCTTTAGATCAGTTGAACCCACTTGAACCCACCTTGATTTTATTTTTTAAACAATTTGGAATAATATATTTTTAAAAAGCAAACATTTAACCAATATTTATGTTTTCTTCATATTTAAGTTTTTGGAATAATGAAATTGACAAATTAATAAGTGGGATTTTTTTGTATGAAAATCCTATTAGATAATAAATCCACTTATTAATACAAGTGGAATTATTATCCACTATGACAAATAAGTTTTTGGATTTGATTTAATCTATAATATTAATCGTGTTCCATAAAGATAATAATCCCACTTAGTAATGTAAGTGAAATTATTATCTACCTGGGAGATAATAATCCCACTTGTAATTATAGGTGGGATTATTATCTTTCCGGAAGGATAATAATTCCACGTGTATTTCTAAGTGGGAATATTATCCCGCAGGGAACATTTAAAAATTTGCGATTTTCGGGGTTATTATCTCGCAGGATCGTGGAATTAATATCTTTCGGGGATTTTACCCCCTATCCAAGCTGGGCTGAAGATTCGTTGGACCGGAGATCTATCAATGGTTTTCTTTGTGCAATTAATGGAGGTGTTGTCTCATGGTGCAGCAGAATACAAGATATAGTGTCGTTATCATGGATGGAGGCTGAATACATCGCACTCTCAGAAAGTTGCAAAGAGCTAAAATGGGTTAAAATGTTGACCGATTCTTTATCTGAGTTTGCCGTTCCAGATAAAATTACTCTGTATACAGACAGTCAAAGTAGTATGAAACTGATATCCAATCAGAAATTTAGCAACAGAAGCAAGCACATTGATACTAGATATCACTATGTGAAGCAATCGGTTGATTTAGGAGAGATTGAACTGAAATATTGCAGCACTGATGTGAATATAGCTGAAATGATGACGAAGCCACTTGGAAATATAAAATTAAAGAAATTCGCGCAAGATTGTGGACTGAAACAGTAATATTAATTTGTCAGACCAAGTTAATATTATGAGGAGTGTTGAATTATTATGTTACATTGATATTGATCGTAAGAATCTGAATGTTATTATTGAAAAGTTATTATTGAGAAAAAGGATTATTTCAAGTTAAAATTACATTTTTGTTATTTGAGAGGATTAAAATAAAGTATACTATTTTTTACATTATCTAAAAAAAATTGTGCGAACATAATATATGTTGCATGTTTAAATGCTAATTTTGTACATCAATTAATCGATATTTTCATGCAAATTTACTACAATCTTGCGTGTTGTTCTGTATACATGTTGTCATTACGACACATTAAGCTCCATAATTATGTCCAAGGCATTAAAATTTTAAACAATTCCCAGTGAACATTAACACGAAAGCATTAAATTCATTTACTATTTTTTGTTCTCTGTTCTAGGTGAATAATGCTGGGAATCAACTGACTACATTGGCATCGAAATTAGGAAATGTTGAGAAGAATTTACTACCTGATCCTACACAAATTGAGACTACTGCTGAGCCTGTTAACATTCCAGTGTTAGAACTACTCGAATCTGTGTCAGATGTAACAAACGAATATGAGACTTTAAGACGAGATTTAAGTGAAATGAATCATCTACAAAAAGAAATGACATCAAATTTAAGGTACCAAGTACGCATTATGAATCAAACATTCAATTTATTAAAACAGCGCATAGAAGCGAAAAATCTTCAACCTCATATTCAAGCTGAGTTTGCCCATAACCAAAAGCTTTTACAGCGACAAAGATCACAATTATCATTACCAACAAGCACCACAATGCTTTATCATAGTCACTCTAAATAATTGTGTAGCAAGTATTATTAAAATTCTTTTCCTGTCTATCCTATATCAACTCTCTATCCTATGTATGTCTCGCAATAACTTCATGTTGCACTATTTCAAAGCTTTCCTCCTCATTCATTAGTTTCATAATTAGAAGAAATCAAACATTTTAGATAATCGTAGTAAAAATCAAATCAAAGTATAATAACTTGAAAAACAATATATGTGTAAACTATATTCTAATGAGACATTCAAGTCATCTCTTTGCTGTAGAAAAGTGTACAATTAAATTTTTTCACAATCTCGAATATTTTTGATAATAACTACTTTTATAGTTTTTGATACACATGATTTGATTAAAATTGTTATTTTTTTATTTCTTGCTTAATTTTAGTAGTTTGTCACGTGTCTGTTTAATGGAAAATTTTGAAATTTTAACCGTCATTTTAAATTCAAAAAGTCGTATAAATATTTTTTTTAAAATTTCCGTTAAAAATGCAACACGTGTGCAAGTACTTTTTTTGAATCGATAATGAAACTTACATGTCTGAAGCTATGTAATAAGCACATTTTAAATATAAATTGATAACATTTACAAGAATATTTTTAAAACGCAAGAAAAATAATAAGCTTGCATCATGAAGAACCTAATACGAAATCTACATAATTCGAGTAATATTCGGTTATATCAGGAAAGCCTTGACAACATAAATTAAAAATTGACAAGATATTACTAGAATTTCGTTTCTACAGTTAATAATAATAATTACCAATAAAAACTCACAGGATATTGATAGCCAAGATGGAAATTGAACATTGGACCCTTTAACTTACCTATATTTCGGTAATTAAAAAATAAATCGTGTAAAATCTATTTGTATGTTTGTAGTTTATTAGATTATTTATCTGTGAATTGATCTGAATTGATGCAATTTGCAACCTTAAAATGACTGATGAAAAGGCTGAAGAAAGTAGCAAATTGCATATTTTTTTCGAAATGAAGAAATAAATAAATTTATGTGTAGTGTGTAGATTTGTTGATCGTACCTGTTTATGCAATCCCAAAATACAATAACTTGTAGAAAACAATTTGATAATGAGAGTAAATTAGCTCAAAGCGTAGACTTTAAGTTCAAATATTATAAACACGAGAAATTGAATGTTCTAAAAATCTATTTTCATGTTAGGAAATAACCATTAATTAACGTTTTTCTCTTAGATCTCAATGATAATCTTTATTAAGTGCACTTTTATCAAGATTTTAAATTTTCTATAAATTATGATTTTTTTTTCATTAAAAGCTTATCGTGAACTTTTAACCGTCATTTTTTTGAATCAGAATCTGAGCTTTTTAACTGTAATTTTTAAATTTGAAAAGTCTGTTAATTTTACAGGCTTTTTTAAAAACTTATTTCCGTTTAACGTCAATTAAATACTCAATATTGCATGTTTAATAATACAATATATAACACTAGTGTATTAATTAATTAATTTTGCATCATACCTAAGTCTATAACCACTTATTAGATTCTATGCTAATGAAATGAAATGTTTTTCGTCACAGACATATCTAGTGAAAATTTTAGAATAGTCATTATGTTTATTAAACCTCGATAAAAATAATAATAAAGAGTTCTTAAATAGACAAAACTTAAATAATCGTAGTTGCCATGGGATTTTTCTCTTCAAAAATTTGTTTATTCAACTTTCAGAATAAAAGTAAATTAATTCATGATGTTTTGGGGATTAAGTGAAGCAAGAGATATTTTCGATGAATACATTACTGCAATTAAGCAGCGACCAAAGAAGCTTGACATTTTATTTTATGGACTTGGAGATTCAGGACATGTGCTTAAAACTATTTCAAAATTTTATTTCCACAATGCTCACGATATTGAATTTAACTTTTACATCCTTGAAGGATGTCCTGAACTGCTTGCTAGAGATTTAGCATTGCTGACTGTCGCCTTTGAAAGTGATGAAAACTTATCGATAAATGGAAAAACTCAGTTGTATATGGACATATTTGGCAATAGCTTGCTTCATTCAACATCCAGCATGTATCTTAACTCAAAAAGTGAAATTTTCATCAAAATGATAACTGACAAGAGCTATGCTAGACAATTTTTGCCGATATTCATACTTGATAATCTAAAATACAAAGAACGTGATCAGATGGAAGTAAGTCATTAATCCTAAGATTTATTTTAATCCCAATGCTTAATCCTTTGATTTGACTTAATTCTTTTTCCATTTTAGATGGCTTTCACATTTTGGAAGAATAAGAAGGAACACATTTATGACATTAAAAAGTATTGGGATGATCAGAATAGATTGCAATTGAAAGAACGGTATGATTATAGGAATGGAGCCTTTGATTGGGACTTACAAATGAGACTAAAGAGCAATGGAGCTAAGCAAATCTGTACTCAAGAATATAAGCATTGGCGTGAAAATGGCGTTGCCTTTACATTCCCTGAATTCGAATATGCCATGCCGAACAAGACTTTTGCGATGGAAATTTGTCGTAGTGGAAATAAATGGTTCCATCGTGGATATGTTGGAGATATGAGTACTGGACCTTTTATCACTTTTGGAATTGATTGTTCTGAGGAGAAAATGCTTAAATCTAATTTTGGAACCAATGAATGTCGTTCAACTGATATAACTGAAAGAAATCTTTATGAGATAATGTGGGAAATGAAGCATCAGACGAAATATGATCCAAAAAATGATAATAAGAATTTCCGTAAATTAGGTGCAGTCACATTAAAAGTTGGCGATAACCCATGTGCCTCTCGTTCATTTGAGGATGCAGATATGAATCTCATGATATATGACAAGCCGTTAATGTCATTTGATAACGTTAAAATTCATTTTTTATCAGTAGATGACATTCTTAATATTACTAAGAAGCATCAGTTCCAACATAAATTTGATGTCGTTTTTGTAGCACATAACTATTTTTCGTTCCTTAAAGATGACTTTCTGGAAATTCTCAAAACTCCGTCATTTGTCATGTTCGAGACGAAAAAGTTTAGCGTCATGAAAAGCGAAGAAATATCCAAAAATATCGAGGAAATCAAGGGCTTTGCCAAAAATATTAGTTTAAAGCCTGTAACAAACTTTTCATTGAATCTCGTCAACTCCGTAATTAAATATAAGAAAATCGAATAAATTTATTCTGATAGCATATGAGGATTAAAATAACACAGAAATAGGAAATAATAGAGATCTCATGTCTGGATAGATTGCAATGGAATCTCGAGCTTCTCTTTTAATTTTGATATCTTTGTCTTTAAAATTCCTAGATTATCAGTGTTTGCATACAGACACAACAAAAGATTTGCGACCTGCAAATAGAAGTAAAGTGATTGTCAAAATCAGTTCTTACTAGATCCTTTTATGATCCAGAGTTGGATCTTAATACTCAAGTAAAGGGAATTTTATAGTTTTCAAGCAGAAAATAGGATGTCATACATACTTGAGTCACAATGACATTTCCACCTTCACAATTGATAATAAGAAACTGTAAAGGATCTTCTCTGAATGAATTATGGCCGTGTTTTTCGTATGCAGACCAAACATTACTCGCAATTGCTGACGTTATTCGTGCATCCTTATTATGGAATCCACTAAAAGCAAGTAAGGCACCATCATTGTTTAATAATCTGAAAAGACAAAGAATTAAAATTTATTTAAGTAAATATTCAATTTTTCTTTGATTATAGTTGGATCTTGATACTTACAATGTATTTTCAACACCTCCTGTGTTTGCTTGACTAAGAACATTTGTTAAAACCTTGGGTTTAAGCATCGTTTATTCACAAATAATTAAATTAACAAGATCCAAATTTTTCAGATTATTTTTTTTTTTTTGTAAACAATCGTTTTCTCATGGAACTTTCATCAAAACTTAATGTTTTTAATTTTTGAGTGAATTCCCATGATAATTATATACAATTGGAGCTTAGTTCTTTGGATTATTTTATTATTGATCAAAATCCAATTGAGATTGCCTTTATATCTATGGATAATCAGTGTTTTGACTATTCAGACAGAAGCATCACTAACCTTAGACTATTCTTTGTGAAAAAAATAAATAAATTTTGCAAAATCGTATTGCAATTAAGTGTTTGTCCTCCTTCCTGTCATTTTAAAGTAATGTAAATAGAAAGAATGTGGTTTGATAGCAGTTCCATAGCTAATCTTGCGAAGAGCGCTTTAAAAGAAGGTAGTTTAATGATATAAATAATATTTATTGCGTGGCGAAATTCTAGAATTAATAAATATTGCTAATTTATACTCAGCACAAAAGCATATAGATAATGTTCTGGACATTAAAGATGAGGATATGTCAGAGACTAATAATGAAGAATCAAGACTTACCAAGAGTAAAACATTGCCGTCTATTCAGCAAGAAGCCAAAAAAGAAGAAACTATTTCTGTCTGGGGAAGTTTTAATGGAAGTTTCTTCGAAAATAAGCCGTCGCATCCAGCAATAATCACAAATCCACCTCCGAGAAAAAGCGAAACAAGCTCTGGTGAGCTTAATTAATTTTTTCATGGATTAAAATTAACTTATTTTAATGTATTTATTAGAATCCTTGGAAATAATTAGCAAGTCTCCATCGTCGTCAGCATCTTTGCAAGATATAAGCTCGTCTCAATCGACACTTCAAGGTTCTGTCGATGATTCTGTAGAAGTAATTAATAAAACGTCTAGCAATTTAGATATTTCGTCTCCAATTCAAGCTGATTTATTATCGCCAATTGATTTATATACAGACAGCAGTAATAGTGCATTAATGACACCTCAAGATGATGATATTCCTATAACATTGCCACCAACTCGATCTAATAATTCATTAGAAATTGAAACTTCAACTACAATTATTTCAACATCTACTTTAACTAATTCTGAATGTGGAAGTAGCTTTTGTGATCCAAGTAATGATGAATTGGATCAAACACTGAGAGCAATAAATAGTTCTAATATAATGGAAAAGTCGATGGAGAGCTTCGAAATTCAAACACAAATTTCTGATTCAACGCACAGTTTTGAAGAAATAAATCCCAGTAAAGTCAAGAATATTCCATCAAATCAAGCAGGCAAGTCTGAATGTAAAACTGGATCTGGACATACTTCATCAGGCGATGAGCTTGAAACGGCAACATCATCGGATATAGAAATTATTAGTTCACCAAAAGACGATTCAAGCAGCACAGCAAGTTGCACTAAAGCACTTAGTCCAAGTAAAAAAGACAGCTCGTTTCCTTACCAAAATTCCGAGTCATATTTAGCAAATTTAAAGCTTGACCATAAAGGACATAGTCGTGAATTATCTGAAGTATCAGTATTAAGTCTTGCCAGTGATGAATGTGGAAGTCCATCAGATACAGAGAAGCTTTTGAAGCGAATTAGTGAATTAAATGAGAATCTTGAACAGCGTGAAGTTCAATTGGTTCAAATGGGACGTAGCAATGCTGAATTGACAGACGTGAATGTTAAATTGAGTCAGGAACTTGATGCTATTAAAAGAGGACGTAATAGTTTGGATATGACAAATTTACAAGAAGAATATACGCAAAGATTGTCAGCTTTAGAAAAGAAGTTCCAACAATCAATTCGTGATAATTCAATGCTTAAGAAACAACTTGAAACAATGAAGGCTGAAATGGAAAGTAAAGTCAGTGTGCATGAATATGATAAAATGGCAACAGAAAAGGACTCAATTATTGAGACATTAAAGAATGAAGGTGAAAAATTGTCAAAACAAATTCTGCAGCATTCCAATGCAATTAAGAAGTTAAAAGCTAAGCTGAAGGAAAATGATGAATTAATTAAGAGACAAGACAGTCAAATTACGGAAATGACTGATGAAAACCAAAAATTAAAGAAAAATCTGACAACAAAAGATGAAATTGAAAAATCACAAACTGATGGCATTAACAAGTTGACGACTGATAAAAGAAAATTTGAGAAAGAAAGTCAGCAGCTTAAAAGTCAAAATGAGGATTTACAGCAAAAATTATTGGCACTACAGACATCTCATGATGCATTAAAGAAAGAATTGAGTGAAAAGAGTGTCGAAATGGGCAGAAATCTAGAAGATGAGAAAGAAAAGGCATTAAATGAGAGTAAATTATTGAGAAAAGAGCTAACGGAATTAAGAGAAATTAATAGGATCAATGAAAGTTCAGCAACAAGTCGTGAACAAAAATTAAGACAAGAAAATTTGGAACTGAAAAGAAAATTGGAAGAAACAGAATTCAGAATAGAAGATCAGAAGCAAGAAGCATCTTTAGCTTCGATTCCGCTGATTAGACAACTCGAATCACTTCAAAGTACTTTAAATTCACGTACAGCATCATGGGAAAATCAAGAACGACTGCTTCTAGAGAAGCTAGAAATAGCACAAAATAAATTATCATCACAATCGGATGTTGAGAAGGTGGCTAAAGATCAAGTCATGCATTTAAACATTAAAATATCCAATTTGGAAGAGAAATTGTCATCGACTAGCCTAAAATTAGAGCAAACTTTAAGTCAGTTACAGCAGAAAGAAATTGAATATAATCTCCATGAAAATGATTTTAAATTAAAGATTGAACAGTTATTAGCAGAAGTTTCAACCAAATCGACAGATACTGAAAAGTTTAAAAACCTCGTCTCACAGCTGGAAGAAAAATTGAGGTCTGAAAGAACTGAATTTGAGGACGAAAAGCGTAAGCTTTTATTTATTCAGCAACAAAATCATCATCATCCACATGCTGAACGACATGATTCAAATGATTTAGAAAATGATTCGCCAGTTTTAAGTTTAGGAAGTGTTGAGTCTTTACATTCACATCCATGGAATATTGTAAGCCTTCTTCAGCTATCTTTTGTAAGTTTTCAATTATTAATTAATTTTTATATTGCTCTTGTAGGATGATCATGATGTCGGTGCCAATTCTAATTATAGCAGTCAGTACGGTGGAGTTGTTAACTCTTCAGCATCTCTTATGGAAGGATTACAATCAATTTTAAAACAGGTAATTTAAACCTTACAAATGTTAAAATTTTATGAAACATTTGTATTGTTTTGAGACACAATTTAGTCAATGAATTCTAAAATTCAATTTGATATTTCAGAGGGATGGTGAAGTACAGCAATTACAATGGGAAATACATAGACTTCAAACTGAAAGGAATTTCCTTTCAAATGAAATTTCTAATTTAACATCTGAGTTTGAAAAGGTAACAATGAAATATGATTGTTAATTTAGATTTGATATAAAATTTAATTAAATTCATTAAACAGGCCACTGAGCAATTAAAAGAGCACTCAGAGAAGCAAGTGAAGCAAGAGCAAGATCAAGTGCAGTATAATGCACTGTTGGAAATGTATGGACAAAAGGTAAAGGACTTATTAATTTATTTTTCAACAACTATAATAATTGACTTTCAGGCTGAGGAGTACGAAGAGTTGAAGATGGATTTAGTTGATCTAAAATCAATTTCACAAATGTATAAGAAACAAATAGACGAATTGACGCAGAAACTCAATGATATCGAGAAGAAGCCTAATAAAACATAATCGAGGTGGTGCAATGGTATTTTTAATCAAAAATGTGATCATTTATGATGGATTAAAATTTTAACGTAGGTATTATGTCCATCTAGAATTCTTCTTTATTAATAAAATATAAATTAAACTTATTTAAATTTTACAACTTTTTAACGGTTTTCTAATTTTGAATTTTTATCACTTACTGTGGACTAGAAATACCAGTATATTTTTCTAGTATTATTAAATAAAATAACGTCTTAAATAAATTTAAATCCTGTAAAACTACAACAAACAACAAGCCTTAGGCTTATATCAAGAAAAGAGGGTAAGCCTCAGGCTTATATCGAGAAAAGAAGCAAGCAAAAAACTTAAAAAACATGGGCAAGTTTAATAAGAAATTAAATAAAAAGAACAAGCCATTACAGCTGGAAATTGTTCCAAAAGACAAGGAAGTGGAAGTGCAGTTACCAGAGTCAAGAAAATCAGATGCTGTAATCCCAAAAAAGGTAAAAATTTAAAAATAAACAAAAACCGCATGAAATTTTTAAAAGATTTAATTTTCAGGATAAATGGATCAACAGACAGCGAGTATTGGTTCTTTGCGGACGTGGTATTAATCATCGTGATCGTCATTTAATGAAGGATTTAAAGACAATTATGCCACATCATAGAGATGAACCGAAATTAGAGCGCTGGAAGACATTGTCTATTATCAATGAACTTGGTGAGATGAAGCACTGCAATAAGGCAATGTATTTCGAAGGACGTCACAAACAGGATCTTTATATGTGGTTGTCAAGCATTAATGATGGTCCATCAGCAAAGTTTTTGGTCGAAAATGTCAGTACAATGGGTGAATTAAAATTGACAGGAAATTGCTTGAAAGGAGCACGTCCGTTGCTGTCATATGATGAAAATTTCTCAAAAATTCCTCATCTTATGCTTCTTCGTGAATTGTTGACACAAATTTTTGGTGTTCCAAATCATCACCCAAAATCTCAGCCATTTGTTGATCGTGTCTATACATTTACATTCTTGGATAATCGAATTTGGTTCCGAAACTATCAAATTTTAGCTGAAGATGGTGCATTATCAGAAATCGGACCAAGATTTGTTATGAATCCAGTTAAGATCTTTGCTGAATCATTCACTGGCGAGCCTTTATGGGAAAATCCAGACTATGTATCTCCAGCAAAGCACCGTAAAATGATCAAATTATCGGCTAAAGATAAATATGTCAATAGAACAGATTCAAAATCACGTTATGATGCAACAATGCCTACAGAAGCATTTAATATCGATAAAATTGGACGTGAAGTTTTTGCTAATGACGATGAGGAGGAAGTAGCACGTAAGATAATTGAAAGAGAAGAAAATATGGAAGCAGATGAGAGCGTAGACGAAGAAGAACTTCAAGCTAAACGCGAGAAATCTGATATTGCAAGAGTTAAGAAATTAATTGAAAAATTAAAACCTGGTGGAGAAGGCAAGAAGTTAGTAAAACCTAAAAAGCAAGCTGTAAATCCAATATCTGGCAAGCTTCAACAACGAGGAATAACTAAACGATCCAAAATGATCCAGAATATTGCAAAAACAAAGAAACTTAGCACAAAGTTCAAGTCAAAATCCAAGAAGAAGGCTTCTGCTGAGTAATAAACATGTTTGTGACTTTGCAAAAAATAAAGATGAATTGAATTATATTACTGAATATTTTTAACATTTATTTTCCTTGCTAATTTTCAACTGGTTTATAATTCTGCATTCGATGCAAGTCCCAAGCAACAATTTCCAAAAAAAAAGACTAAGCGACACTCACAAAAATCAGAATTTCAAATTAAAGCAAAACATTTGTGGATTAAACAGAATCAAAAAGCAAACGCCCCATTATGAACTTAATCATTAGAAGCACCTGTTTAATGAGTTTGTGATCAATATTATGCTTAATCGTCCTTTTTAAATCAATTTCTTTATTTTTCATAATTCTTTGCGAAGTCACAAATATTAATATTATTTATTTTTTGATAACGTTCTCTGCTTCTCACCAAATTCAACAAGTTTTTTGTCAACATAAAGACCTTTTCTCTCACGTATTGAATCCATATACGATTTAGCTTTATTTTCAAAATCAGCTTTATCTCCAAATTGTTCAAGTTCTTCTTCAGTTGTTGGAATCCAAAACGGATCTTGCTCAATTGTCTCCCAATTACTGAAGCTTAACTGTGGCATGGCAAGTCCAGATGTTTTTACACGCAATTCATTTGCAAGATCGAAAGATTCAATTACTGGAATGACAGCCTCTAACATCCACATACCGCTACCTTCAATCATATCTGAAACGAGTATTCGACCATTTCGTTTAGCTATTTCTGCATAACATTTTCCAAGAACGTCAGCATTTGCTATGATACTCAAGCTATACATTGGACCAACTAGACGTTGTGGTTGTTTTTGGAAAGCAATTCGACAAGCTTCCTTTACCGATGTAATTATAATTCCGGAAATAGAACTGTCACGTTTATCGATACTTTCGTCGATAATAAATTCTTGCATTATAAAACAAATTCCATGCATTGGTTCCAAACATAATGGACCTGCTTGAACTGCAGACTGAAATCCATTAATAATCGCACGATCATAAAGTCCATCAATTGTTTCTGATGACAATAAGTTATGATGAATATATTTACTTTTGTTAATTAATAAACAGGTGCTTAATTTCTTCGGTCCAATACTCCAAATGTCTGTTAATTCAAATTGTTGTGTAACATCAGAATTTTTAAGTTCATTCGAGAACGCATTTAATAGTTCTTTATTGACTTCAATGCCAGACGAACCTTCCATAGTACTAGCAAAAATTTTCAATTGTTCCTTATTAGATTCCATAAACTTGACAACATTTTGTGGTAATGGTGATGCTATGATTTTGATTAAGCATGTGTTATTTCGAGCATTTATTGTAACTGATTTATCATCGTCTGAAGATTTTTGAAGTGATTCCATAATTGTTTCTCGAAATTGAACAATTGGTTTTGAAACATTTAATTGAATTTTAGCATAATCTTCAGTCAAATCTCTGATACATTTTTCTAAATGAACTTCACCTAAAACACATAGCACATGCTCTCCCGTCTCTTGAATCATAATTTGAACACACGAGTCTACTTGATTTAAAAGTTTTAAACCTTTAATGAGTTTAGGCATGTCATCAATATTTGTAGGTTCAACTGCAACTCTAAGAACTGGAGGTGCTAGTATGTCTAAACCGGAAAATGGCGGGCAAGATTTCGAAGATGACAATGTTGCAGTTTTTGTAACGAATTTTTGAAGACCCCAAATTCCAACAATCATTCCAGAATGAGCTTCGTGCATTGGCTCAAAGTTTCTAGCCATCATCAAATAAACTCGTTTTATGTCTACTGGCTCCAATTCTTCTTTATTTTTGAGTTTTGGATTATAATCTCGCTTTACTAAATGAACAGTTGAATTTTCTCGTAAAACTCCACAATAAATTCTACAAAATGCTATTAAAACTTGCTCATCAGGTTCATATTCATCTTCAATATCTCTTAATGCGCGATCACAAGCCATTAATTCTCGATAGGAAATTGGAACCATTTTTGCGATAAATGCAATAACTTTTGAAGAATCATCTTCTGAAAACTCGACATTAGCGGCAAACTTATCTTTTGTTATAAGCTTACTCAATTTTGATTGATACATATCTGCTGGACTTGTGACGTGTTTAATTATTCTGTCAAAAATTGATTTTTCTAATGGGAGCCATTCAGTGAAAACATTTTTGAGGATTGTCTTGCGATTTGCTACCGTTTTTTTAGGTGGACGATATTTGAGTTTCAGCTTCTCACAATAAATGCCTATTTTATCGAAATCATCCTGGATTATGTTGTTATACAACTTCCAGATATTTTCTAATATTATTTGAACGAAAATTGTAGGCTTTCCTTTTGAGTATGCACCCGAATCGCATCGTTTGTGCTTAGCATTATAATAAAAATCGCCCCACATTGCATCGTTGAGAACATCAGCTTGAACATTTAATTTCTCTGCAAACATCGATGAAAAGGCATTTAAGCTAAATCCCTACAAAAAAAAATGGCATATAAATATATGTGTCTGTTAGATTATGACTTGTTTTGCTTACCCATCCATCTTGTGCTGATCCAAATACTACATTTCCAGATGTTGGATTAAAATAAATCATTGAATCATCTGCAGTTTCCAAAGCTGATTCCTGATTGTCTTTTGACATGTCTTCTTGCAAAAAAACATCAGATGCAAATATATTTCCAATCACTGCATTAACTTGCTCTAAAACTCGTCTTAAATGCTCTTCAGCTTCCGTTGTACTCATATTTCTTTCTTGAATTAAGCGATCGATCTTATTAAGGAACAAAATTGGCTTTAACTTCTCATTATATGCTTGCTGTAAAATTGTTCTAGTTTGGGCACAAACGCCTTCAACAACATCAACTACAATTATTGCTCCATCAGCCAGTTTTACAGCTGCAGATGTTTCGCTACTAAAATCGACGTGTCCAGGAGAATCAATTAAATTAATTATATATTCTTCTCCGCTTGATTCAAAATACAGACTTATATTTGAAGCCTTCATTGTAATTTTTCTTTCTTGTTCATCTGGACGATTATCCAAATATCTCATAGGACCTGCATTCCTTGACGAGATGATTCCATTGCTAGCAATCAAATAATCAGCAAGTGTTGTCTTTCCATGATCTACATGCGCTAAAATACACACGTTTCTTATATTGCTTGTTTTTTTCTGTAGCTCCTTAATTTTCTGAATGATTTGAGACATTCTTAAATCTATGCTTTAAATAAATTACGTCTTACACTTATTGTTAAGTAATCAACACCGTTTAACACTTTTTACTTTAAATTTCTGACAACTTAAATGTTTTTAATGTTTACATTTTTTTGTGCAATCTGCTTAAAAATTTCAAATATTTTGGAAACGTTAAAAAACTTTCAGCCAAAGTTTTCATTTTTATTAATTATCGTACTGTGCTTGTGCACCTAATGACTATTTTAAATCAAGTGCTTAACATAATTCGAGCTGTCAAAAGTAACCCTTACAACAGTTAAAAATCATGATACATGAAAAGTTAACTTAAATAGACACACTTGGTGTTTTTGTTAACATAACTATTGGTAAAGTCTTTGAGAGACTAATCCTTTCTCGTTTATGTACTTTTGAAGAGGACAACAACATTTTTATCAAACAGCAATTCGGATTTAAATCGAAAAACTCAACGACACAGCAAGTACTCAGAATATCTGAAAAGGCTGCTTTAGGTTTCAATCGCAATAAAAGTTTAGGTTTAGTACTTTTGGACTTGAGAAAAGCTTATGATGCTGTTTGGCACCATGCTCTCATCCACAAATTAAGCAAATGTAACCACCCATTATATCTCATTAAACTTATTGCTTCTCCAAGACAGATCAGCGTATGTGTCTATGAATAAATCTAAGTCATTCATCTTTAAGATTCTAGCTGGGGTCCCACAAGGATCAGTCATTGCACCTCATCTATTCAATTTATTTATTAATGATATCCCACTACCTGATGTGGGCGAATTGGCATTGTTCGTTGACGATACTGCCTACTTTATAGAGGCAGATTCTAGTAAATTCTCTTATGTTAAACAGAACTTTATATTAGCTGTCAAATCCTTTCAATCCTTCTTCCAAGACTGGAAAATTACTTTAAATGACAACAAGATCGAATTCATTAAATTCGCAAGATAAACTAAAGTCATCCAGAAGTGTCAGACTGATCAAATTTATATTAACAACGCATCATTCAATTGGAAATTTCATGTCCGCTATCTAGGAGTTCATTTAGACCAGAAACTCACATTTAAACATCACTTGGATGTTGTCTTAAGCAAAACAAAAGCTTTAGCTTACTCAACTCTATATCCATTATTGAAAAGAAATTGCCCGATCTTCATTAATTGTGCAAAAACTAATTTCAATAAACTCCAAGTTTTTCAAAATAAGCTACTAAGACAAATTTACGATATTAAATGGGATGACTTTATCTCTAATGAATTTATTCATTTTAAAGCTAAAATTTCCACAATTAATGAGTTTACACTCAAACTGGCTAATAAATTTTATTCAAATTGCGAATCACATTCTAATGATTTAATTTCCAACCTGGGACGATATAGATATGACTCTCTAGACTTTCGTTTGAAGCACAGACTTCCAAAACCTATTTCCTGCTAAAGGAGAAGTTTTTCTTTTTATTTTTATCTTTTTATAATATTTTTGAAATTTGCACAACTTTGCACATGAAAATTTCATTTGCTTGGAACTTTTCAACAGATTATTGTTAAGGCTTAAAAAAACTTCTGAGCTGTTGAAAATTGTAGAAATTTTCATTTGCAACTTTTTTCTGAAAGCTACGATGGATATCAGCAGAGATATAAGCGTTTTATTTTTGACTTTTGAAATTTGCATGAAAATTTTAAAAATTTGCACAAAAAACTTTTTTGATAGCAATCCATGACATTTTTGTATTTAATTTATGTAAACAATTATTTTTTTTTTATTTTTTTTGGGAGAATAATTACTAATACGGGGGGTACAGGGAGTTCAATATCACGTTGGATGCATCTCAGCCTGTAGCAACTTTTGTCAATACATCACTTTTATGTTCACATCTGTTTTCAGGTCTAAAACACTTGTTCTAGGTTGAGTGAAAAAACAGAATTGAAGTTTTTCAAAAAGCTCGATTTTTCTAGAATTTTTCATAGGGGGTACAGGGGGTTCAATATCACGTTGGATGCATCTCAGCCTGTAGCAACTTTTGTCAACACATCACTTTTAAGTTCACATCTGTTTTCAGGTCTAAAACACTTGTTCTAGGTTGAGTGAAAAAACAGAATTGAAGTTTTTCAAAAAACTCGATTTTTCTAGAATTTTACATAGGGGGGTACAGGGGGTTCAATATCACGTTGGATGCATCTCAGCCTGTAGCAACTTTCTTCTATACATCACTTTTATGTTCACATCTGTTTCGAGGTCTAAAACACTTGTTCTAGGTTGAGTGAAAAAAAAAAAAATTCATTCAAAAAAAAAAATTCTGGGAGAATTACTGATTTCTGTTTCTAACATCGTCACATGCATCGTCGTTGAAAATTAATAGGAAAATTGAAGACAAAAATTCAAAAGTCAAGCACAAGAAATCAAAACAGGATCCATTATATGTAAAACTATAGAATCAAGTCTTTGAAATGGATATCTCATATTTAAGCTGATTTTGTTCCTATCATTCATCATTAAAGACTAATTCTATTTTTAAATTCGCAAATTATTATTTTTTTTTAATGTCATTTCTTTGCTTTATCATGGATATATCCTTAAGAAACAATTTAACACTTGCTACTTTTAAAATTTGATTCTTTTTTCGGTAATTTTTTAATCGCCGATGATTCTTGAATATTTTTCTCAATTTTCCTACAGTCCCATTCATCGCTATCTTCATTTCAGGCATAAAACATGAATGTTTTGACTCCGAAAAAATCATGTTTTCACCAAAAGAATTAATGCTTACATCGAATTTTTCAAAACCTCCTACGCTTAAAACTGTGCAAATTTCAAAAGTTTCGACAAATTTTTGTGCAAATTTTAAAAGTAAAAAACAAGCTTTTTTAAAAGTGATTTTTTGGGCAGTTCCGCTTATTCTTTCACAAAATAAATACTTCCAAAATTTAAAACTACTTAAGAACTACATTTTTTGATATCAAAATATTTGATAAAGCTACTGATTGTATCCCAAAACGTTATATTTTGCAAAGTTTCGTTTTGTATGAAAAATTGATCGCTGAAGGAATTCATCTTCCTGATGCCTTTAAACAACTCAAAGTGGTACAACAACATTTGTACAATAATTATATAAAGATTTTGTGAAGTAAGTATTATCAGAAGTGGATATTTTGCGAGAAATTTTTATTTTTTATTTTCATATGACTGTGCAAATTTCAAAAGTGTGCAATTTTCAAAAGTATTTACCCTAATCATTTTAATTTTTCCATTATGGTTTTTTTTCCACCAATAATCTCATTATATTGAACATTTATCACGAAATACGTAATTAAGAATCAAGTTAAGTCTAAATTAAAACCGAATAGGTTGGTGTTGAAATAAAATTCCATGTAATGTTAAATTTCAAATATTTACAAGAAACTCACAATAAAGACGATTACTATTATTATTATTATTATTGTTAACATAATTAAGTTCAAAACAATTTTGTTTGCTTTATAAGGATTAAATTTTTATTAATATTAATACATAGCGAATATAACATAAAAATGTTTTTTCAACCACTTTTGTAATTCCATATCTGTTAAAAATCAACTTGGAAGGTAGAAATATATCATAAACTTTTACATCAATAAAGTTCTAACATGCATATTTATGCTCGTTACACTAATGATTAAGGCCATTGAACATGTTTTATTTGTAAAGCATCGATTATCATGTTATACTTTTTGTTTTCTTCGAGAAATTTTTGTTTTATTAAGTAAGAGCGCAAACATCACTTTATGATTAATGTGCCTGTTTTTAATTTTATTGGACGATGACAAAAGTACGAAATGCTCGAGAATTAAGCAACAGCTAAACACATTTACTTTTAATCTTATGAATCCAATTAAAAAGAAAAGAAGACGAGATTTTGAAAATGATTAAGCCTTAAAAACTATATGAATAATCAGCAAATTCCTCACAATTCTCCTAAAATTGCTGACAAATATAATTAAATTAAAAGCTATGATAATGTTTGTTTTGGTAGCTGAGTGATGTGAACTGTCAAAATTTAATAAATGAATAATTTATGCTGGCTCGATTGTTGGTTGATCATTACGATAGCTTCCGAAAGGCTGTTTAGTGATGGGCTGCAATTCAACTTCCTGCATTTGTCCTATAAATGATTAAAACTCAGTTTATACTCGATTTATGTTTATTAACTTAAATATGTTTACCTTCAACTGCAACAGCCTTTTCTTCACCCAAGAGATTTGCCAAGTTTGAGTCCTTCCAACGTCCATTAGGTCCGTTAATCTGTAATTCAGTATAATTATAAGATTTGTTACAATTTTAAATCTTAGGATTAATTTTAATCTTTTGGTCAAAAAATTAACTTACATGACGATCTTCATAGACACAGAGGAACAATGTATCAACGACAATTTCATAGAGTGATAATATGACATGAGCTACAAAGAAGGCAAAAACTGCAATTATGAAGACAGGAATCATGTAGAACTGAATTTCTTCATTTTTTTTCAACATTAATAAAGCAATAAATCCACAGACTCCAGCAACAGCCAATTTTCCAAGGAAGAGAACAAAATCACCAATTCCATTGATAGTAGCGACGCTAACCACGTGAGTCCAAATAGCTTTCCATGCAACTCCTGAAAATACAAATTTTTTGCTTTATACTCATTTCGAAAGGAAATAACTGAATATTTACCGGCAGCTGGACAGAAGTTGATGCTTTCTATGGCAATAACCTGGAAGGAAGATATTGTTTTTTAAAATTATCCGGCGTACCACAATCGAGTAAGATACTTACAGTATAAGCATTGTGATTCAAGTAGCGAATAAATTTCTCCAAACACCAAAAACAGCAAATACAACACTTGAGCATGCAATCAGCTAATCCATTTCCTTTTCCTGCTGCTGTCTTAAATTTAGCATATAAGTAAGAAAGAATCAATCTTGGGATTTTAAAAAGTGTGATCAAGAAGCTTCCTTTTACAACAGATCCAAGATGATATTTGATTAATTTTCCCATTGAGTCACAGACTGGAGAGTCTGTTGGCTTCTTAAAATACCATAATGCAACAGCACCAGCGAGACATAATTGTGATGCAGCAAAAATAAATTCAGAAACCCAAATTAATGCAACAAGGTAGATGTAGAGTCCATACTTAGTCCAATCAGTTTCATGATATTCAACGAGTTTAAAGGTTTTTTGCAATTCAGCTCCATTTTTGGGATTGTCAATATTTGTTGGGATATTTTCTTGTGGATTAGTAACATCTATGAATGGCTTAACTCCTGGAATAGTTGCCGTAGCCAAACATACAACCACAGATATCCAAAATGCGAAAAATATCATAAGAGCTATAAATGCAAGCAAAGGAGGTCCAAAAATTTGAGGAATAGAATACATGCATTTTCCTGCTTCTTCGAATAAAGCTGCTAATCCAGAGAATTTAGATGACATCAAGTAAATGACAACGAGTAAGATGATCATGCAAATGGTAGCTACTATGGCAAAAATATAGACAGCAGTTTCATTTTGCAAATATTGTGAAAGTTTAGCAATTTCAGCATTTTCCTTATTCTTCTTAATATCATAATAAGTCCACCATAAAAGCACAGTAATTCCAATGCTGGCCACTCCAACAAATATGCAAATCAACCATGAAATGATTTGAGTCAGATAATGAAGTAATCCAATCAGAATGATTGAAAATATCAAGGCAAGTCCACAAATGAGAGCAATGATGTGCCACGATTTATATAAATCACGAGCTGTTTGTTCTACAAAATCCCAGGAACTAACAACGCTATAAAGTTGTTGAGCTTCTTTAACAGGGCTATGATCACCTGTTGGAATACATCTATGGAAAACTGGTTCTGATTGATAAATCGGAAATTGTGGACATGGTCCGTTGACGTGAAAAACTGCTTCATCATTCGAGCTTTTAACTGATCCCAATTTTGTCATGTCAAAATCATATCGACAATATTGAGTTCCATTTCGATTGAAATAAGCAAGAAGTTCACTCGAAGAGTTTATCTGCTGTTTTGGACATTCTTTGACACACAATTTAAGGGATTTCTTTATGTCCTTGCCTAAATTGAAAAAAAATACGTAAGGCTTGTCAATTGTACTAATTCCAGAAGCTTTCGGATAATTAAGATCGGCAAATTTCTCGTTGCTTTCGACACCACAAGTATTTCCAAAGGAATCATATCCATTAATAATTCTCGTAGGATTTCCATAAATGAAGGCAAAAGTCGCAATGAAGATCTGAAAATGAGACAAAAGATTGCGTGAATTTATAAATTAGCACTAAAAGTGACATCATGTCAGTTGCTATTCATAGCAATAAATAGAATGCATATTGACTAGAACATTAGCACGTCAGAATTGACAGAATCGAGAATTACTTAATCATCAGTTACAATGAATTCAATTTTTTAATCCCTAGATTTAAGTAATTACTAAACTGAATTATTATGCGGTTAAAAATAAATCCAGTGGCCTTGGAGACGCACAGACTATAAGAACTCTATTATTCGTGAATGAATGAATGACTAAGAAGAAGCAATAATTTGATAGAATTAGCGTGAGAGTATCATATTTTATGTAAATTTGCCTCTGACACAATTAGCATGAATGATTCAGCCGAACCAAACAGTATGGAAATAAATTTAATTAATCACTTAACATCTTCATTAATGCATAAATTGAAATAAAAATACCAATTTTGAGCATAGAACCGGAAATACATTCCATAAGTGACAATAAAATTCTTCAACATAACACAATGGAATGTCTATTAAGCATGAAAATTGATATTCTAGGCGTATCCAAAGGAATCCAAATTGCTCAATTTTCCTAAATTCTTATTTTATGATTCAGCAATTAACTTACCAATACAACCCAAAACAAAATGAAGATAATTAGCCAACAGACATCTGTACATCCTCTCACTGCTGTCGGCTCTGTTCGCGTCGTTTTGCTTTCAAAACAACCCATTATTATTAAATTAGGACTTCAAAACACTTTGTCTTCTTCTTTTCTTTGTTTTTCTGCAATAATCTACTTTAAATCACTGATTTAATCCTGAGTATAATTTTTTCTTAATTGTGCGATGAGTTTTAACCACCTTCTATTCTTAAACCTATTTTAATTCTATTGTTTAAGGAGTTCTTTTTGGGGAGTAAATGAAATAACGCTAAGCTAGCTAGTTGAGGTGGAATTACAAACTCACCGAAAATCGTGTTATGGTGAATATTTTAAGATTGAATTCTCACCATTATAGCTTTTTTTGTGTATTTGAAGATCATTTTGTCCTCATCGTTGGCTGTTGTTTAACATCATACAATCAACAATTCATGTTTACAAAATGGAACAAAAAATGAAATTAAATGTTAAAAGTTTCTCAAGTCATAGCAAGTTTCAGCAGCGCTACATACACAACTAAGCATTACATTCCTTACTGCACTTCCATTCAGTGAAAAAAAGGTTTTTTGTACAGAAGAGAAAACAAATTTAGAGTGAAAGAAAGAAAAAAAAAATGAAAAAATTGAAAATTTCATAATAAGATGTGAATATAATTAAGGAAAAAAATGAAATTGCGTAGCTTAATATTAGTTTTAATAGTTCTATTTTATAATGTAACGACGATAGTAGCATTACGAATTGACGGATCATTTCAAACAAATAAGTTTTTTAAATTTGTCAGCAAATTTGGATTTATCAAATTTGAAAAACATCAGACTAAGTCCAGCAATGAGTATGGATTTATCTATGGGAACGTAACATCTGAGCAGTCCTTTCCAAAAGGAGTGTCAGTAACATTAGCAGTCCTAGATCGTCATCATTTCTTAGAGTTTTATGGAAATAGGTAAATGTTGAGACATGTAATATCCACGCTGGAACAAAACTGGATCATTCGATTAGATGTTGTTGTAATCTTTGTCTACCAAAAAAAACTTTCACACTGAAATCATGTTCGCTATTTTTTCCTTCTTTTTCCGTACATACTTCAAATTGTTGTACACTCGTTTGTTATTAGCTTACACAAAATGTGTATAATTTAAATTGCGACTTGATAATGGTCGGATATTAAAATTCAACCAGTCATCTGTATCAACATCTGAAAGAGCATGTGAGAGTTTGTTGAATTTATCAAAAAACGTTCAAATTTCTTTTGAAAATTATCAAGGCCCCCCCCCCCCCCCCCCCTAAAATTATTTTCATCAAAAAATACCTTATAAAGGCATAAAGCAGTCATACTATGCAAAGAAACGCCCATAGCATTCTAATTAGTATTTCTGTTTATTTTGACATCTTTTTCAAGGTTTTCTAATTTTGTCTACATGAAAGTACAGCAGCTGAAAATATTTCAAAAATGCATTTAACGGTTGCCTGTTTTTCTCCAAATACTTAATTAAATTAAATTGATTCAATCCCTTATCGACCTTGACAATGATATTAATTTTAATTATGTTTCAGAACTGTAACAAATCGGAACTTAGCATGTAGAAAAATGTTTGCTAGGCTTAATGCCACATCATATGATGCCAAATGTAATCGTGATGCAAGAGGTGATTATTTGAGACGAGTGCCATGTAATCACAGTGGTCTATGTAGTGATGAAGATTCACCTTCAAATGTGATTAAAGACAGTCAATTTACTTTCGTAATAAGCAACCAGAATCAGCCAAGATTTTGGTATATATCGTTTGTAGCATGTTATCGTAATGAAACGACATGTGAATGGGAACATTATAATGGACTTCCGCATAAAATTGATTATCATTTGGACTTGGTGAATGGACATCCGATAAAAGAGCAGAATTACTACAGTCCATTCATTTATCATTTTTCGTATGACAAACAGAATATACTTGAGCAATGTCTCATATTTTTCACAATCTATATCGTCTTAGTGCCCATACAAATTATCGGAAGTAGAAAACAAAATCATCCTGTTACCAAATTATTTACAACGAGTCTTGTAATGGAGTTTATTAGTATATGCTTTATACTTATACATCTAATCTCGTTTGCATCAGATGGACGAGGAAATGAAGGATTGAAAATAGCTGGAGATATTTTCGATATTCTAAGTCGAACATCATTCATGTTAATTTTATTACTTTTAGCTAAAGGATGGGCAGTGACGAGATTAGAGATATCAGCTGCAAGCTGGATTGCACTGATCTTTATCTGGATTTCGTATCTTATATTAAATTTCATATTATATGTATGGAATATGACTGAAATTGATGTTATATCGGATATAGACGAGTTCCAAACATGGCCAGGATTTCTCGTTCTCATTAGCCGTTCCTGTATAATGTTATGGTTTTTGTATGAATTAAGAACAACCATGAAATATGAGCATTCGACGAAAAAGCTCGACTTCCTTCTACACTTTGGAGCATCATCTCTCGTTTGGTTCATTTATCTTCCGATCATAGCTGTAATATCAATGTCAGTGTCAGTATTTTGGCGATATAAGCTTCTTCTGGCTGTCATTAATTCCGTTGATTGTCTTGCATATTGTGTAATGATGGGTCTTCTATGGCCAAATCGGAGTGGCCAATATCTCTTACTGGCAGGTCCAAATACTCTTCGCATTGACGAACTTGATGAATTTAATGAGGCTCCACATAATAATCGCGAAATTTATCGAGACGAAATTCCAAGTAAGTTTATCATTGTTGATCTGAATGACTTTAAACTGACTGAAAAGTTATTATCACTTATTTTTAATTACATACATGTTTGACAATCATTACTTCTGTTTTTCTTTTTTATCGTAGATGAAAACAGCGAGGACATGGAAACGCTTGTATCAACTAACGATTTGTTAACAAATAATTCTCATAATGTGAACGATACACTATTATTAATTGAAAATGGTGATTTAACAGACAGAAACGATAGTAAAAAAATTTTTACGTGAATTAAAAATGTATCGTAGTGATAACGATTATCATGCGGATTTACGATACGATTAGAATTTTGCACTCAATCGTCTATGCTTGATAAGAAACAATTCATCAAAATAACAGTAAATTCATTAAATTTATGATTTTGTTTACAAGCAAAACTATTGCTTCCATTTATGAAACATTGATTGTGTTATTAAACGAATTTAAGTTGATTATATTCATAAAATTAAGGATAAAGATTAAGATGATGTGCAAATAATTCCATGATTGGAATCATCCAAATTTATTTTATATTCTTAATTAGTGACACTGGTTCTTTTTGTATGATCAATAAAGAGAGTGTTGTTGGAGTTTAAAAGAGTCATGTAAAAGTCAAAAAATAATAAAAAAAAAAAATTAATTCATTCCTTGTAAAGTTTAGTGATTCAAATTGAGATTAAGATCAATAATTGTACAAATGTAATTTTTTATGTTGTTTGATATATAAAAAGGTATTAAAATGATCAAGTGTTGGTTTTGTGTCGGTGTTATCTGACTTTTTGTAATAAACAATTTGAACTGGAATCGAGTCAAGCACTTTGAGCAACATCACAACTATCTTCATTATCATTACAGTCAGAAAAATTCAAACAAAGCCATTCACTTAATCATTATTATTTATCTCTGGTGATTCTTTGATGGCAACGAGTTAGCAGCTGCACTTCCGCAAACAGAAGAACCCAAATAAATATTTAAAAAAAAAATTGTAATATAAAAAGAGAGAAATTTGCTTTGTGGCAGTTCTATGCACATGTTTTTATAATTTCTGAACCTATCAGCACTTTACTGCAAGTGTCACAATGCTCATTTAGCTTATAATTTACTACATGCAACGTGAAACCTGTGAAAAATTGTATATTTTTGTACCTTTTATTTCTTGATGGGGTAACAAGAATGGGATATAAGTGTTTTGATAATGAAATGTTATTGTATGAACTCAAAAGATACTTGTGAGCAAGTGGCGGTTTTCGAGAGAATGATAAAGCTTCCAATTGACATTTGTGGCTGAAATGATTAACATTTAATTAATATTAAGCGTTTCATTGAAAGTAAAATTTTAAAAATAAATGTAGATTTTAGGAACTGCTCCTGTGTAGAGATGCCACAATAATCTTTTAGTTCATACAAGCTTTTTCGAAAGTAGTTTAAGCTAAAATGTTTGTGTAAAAAGAGTGAAAATTTTTTGTAGCAAGAAAAATTTTAAGCATGAAGCAAATTTCTAAGTAGGAGAAAGAAAATCAATCAAATGAAAAATCCACTGATTGTAAAAATAAACTTTAGACATGATTAACATAAATATTATTAACTTAGAATAAAATTTGTTACAAAAAAGCTTCAGCGCTAAAGCATGAAAATCTATCTTTTCTTAATGCAAATTAATTTTAAAATTTACGCCAATTTCATGTAATGAATAAGATTTAACAAAGATTTAATTGTTAATGACAAAGAAGATTAAGGAAGAAGGAAATAAAATCGTCAAAATGTTTTAGATTTTTTGAAATAACTCAAAAGCTTTCTTTTATTTGGACATCATATCCAGACTTATTTGCATGTTGTTTTTTTCTTGCATGGATCATTTTTGACAGATAACTTCTTGGATATACTTGGATTTCCTGGAGCTTTGATTGATTTTGCAGGAATCGATTGAGCTTTTCCATTCTTCACTAGAGTTTTAGGAGCTGACTTTCCATTTAACTTGCCCACTCCATTCTTCTGCCCAACAACATCCTTTTTTACAAGTTTTTTCATTTCCTCGAATTCCTCTTCAAGAACTTGAACCTCGCGAGTTTCTTTTTTTGGAATCTCTATCCTTGGTCCCCGTGGTGTTCTCAACTCAAGCTCGATTATATTTTTCTTTCCATTACGATCAGTTCGTTTCTCGGAAATTTTCCATACAAACACATCAACATCGTCTTCGCAACCAGCTCGACATAATTGAATTCCTTGCGGTACTTTTGACATTCCGTTTAATTCACAAGTGAAGTTTTCTTGATCGGCTTGAAGGCAAACAGCCCTCGACATTTGTGATTTCATTCTGTACTTTTCAGTAGCATCAACAGGTTCGCAGTAATTTTGAACATCAAACTTTACTTTTTGGTCCTCAAATCGTCCAGGATATTTTAAGTTTCCACGAATTACAGGTAAAGTTGCAGAATTTTTGTAGCTACTTCCGGAGCAGGATGTCTTTCGTTGATAATCAGTCAAGTCTGAGTCTCCTTTACATTTGCAACTCCCATATTTTTTCCTACAATGACAGCAAGTGAAGTTTTGAGGGAAATTGAAGTCAATTTGTTGATCACATCCTCTAATTGTAAGCTTGTCTTTATTATTTTCAGACAAAGCATCAGAAACTTTCACCGAATAACCTTTTGCAACGCGAACAATCAATTGATTTCCATTAACTTGAGCCATATATTCATCGAATTGTGAATCATGATCATCATTTGGACATGTCAAGATACATTCATCTTCAGCTTTTTCCGTTTTAAATGTACATCCTTTGATTCTGCCATATCCATCATCATCCGTTTTGTATTTATCACAAAGGTCACTAAACTGCTTCTCACTGAAGCCCATGTTTACTGCTGAGCCATAGCAATTTATTCGGATGATATAATGAATTGAACCTGTACCCTTTCCATTACAATCTACAATCAATGAAAATTCCTTAATGAATTCAGGTATGACAATGTTATTATTGCCTTTATTGTGACAATCGAACTTCTTCTTAACTTCCTTCAATTTGCATTGAAAATTTGGGAAGTCATAACATCCAACAGATATAATGTCTTTGGGACACTTAATTTTGTATGCAGTTATGCAGGCTTTTGGATCAGAATTTAACTGCTGATCATTCATTGTAAAAACTACAGACTTTTTCGGTAGCTCATTACAATTCACGTTGTCGATAAATTCAGTCTCAGTTATTTCCATTGATATATTAGGTATCATTTCAAATCGTATAAGATAATCGAGTTCATCTAGATACTCAAGTTCTTGTGGAAATGGGAAAATTTTGACATTTTCGATTGAAAATTCGATATGATAAATGTATGACTGTTGATCACTCATGTCGAAGTCTAAAAACTTTAAATTTTACTGGAATTAAGAAAAGCAATGATTATTTCGAATTTTCATTGCTAAAAGGAATATTTATCATGGAGCTTACTGAATGCTTAGTCCTTGTCCTTAATACAAAATAGTACAAAATCTTTTCTAGTTGAAAATTTTATAAAAAATGAAGTTTCTGGTGATTTTAAAAGTTTACTGCGATTTTTTTTTCTCAAATTATATTGGAATTTATTTAAATGAGACAACAAGTGGCTGAGAATCACTCAATCTTTTGTCATTTTACAAACTATGAACTTGACACCTCAATCTAAAAATCCCTAAAATGAAGCTACCCTAAAATGTGTGTGTGAAGCTGGCGGGAACAGGTTCTCAGAACAAGTTGAAACTTTGTCAGAATTACGTCCATATTACGTCCATTTACGTCCCGTAATTAAATATTTTCGTCCTACTTCCTATGACTGGATATACCACTTTCAATATTTGAGTATCTTTCCCGCCAACTTCACTTTTTCAGCGGGAACCAATTACGAAATTAATTTTAATTATACATATTATATATCAAAACTGATCTCCAAATTACGTCCAATTTCGTCCCGTAAAAATTTTTGGAATCGGATTTAACTAGCAAGAGTTATGGACTGTCAAAGTTTTGAACAGTACTACTTGTGGACCAATATTTTTTCCTATTAAATACTTATCATGTAGTATATCAAAACACGTCTCCTTTTTGTCAAGAGCTTAAATCTGATGGAACTATTTAAGTTCAATCTGTCATTTTGGACTTTTTGCAGTTCCAGTTCCATCTCGTAACTGAACATCATCAAAGTTTCAAAAATTTACTAGGACCATATTGTATGTCAAAATATATTCATTTTTTCTCAGTATTCCTAATCGGAAGGAATTTTTTAGATTATTTCGCCATTTTAAATTTTTGGCAGTTCCAGTGCATTCTAGCCTCGTACCTGAGCATGTCCAAAAATTCGAAAAAAAATTAAGGACATGTTATGCATCAAATCATAAGGATTTTTTCTCATTAATTCAAATTCTGAGGAAATTTTTTAATCCTGATGGTAGATTTGGATTTATTACAGTTTCAATACATTTTTGGCATGCCTGCACATCTTGATATATGTGTGCATCTTTTTGATTTAAAATTTTTAAGAGGGCTAGCCAGTGGCTATTATGACTTAATTATAGATTTGAAATAAATCATTGGTAAAGAATTTGATGCGTTGACATCCAAAATTATTTGATTGGCAATTATTATTGAAAATTAAAATTTTTTTTTCTCGTTAAAAAATAATTGTATTAATGACCTAAATACCTGAATACTCTAAAAGTTTTTAAAAATTTTGAGATTCGATAACCTAATCTTTATATTGAAAAATAAAAAAATGTTTATTTTTTAATTTTTAATTTTTTTTTTCGAATTTTCGGACATGCTAGGATAGGCTAGAATGCACAGGAACTGCCAAAAATGGTGAAATAATCTAAAAAATTCCTTCTGATTAGGAATACTGAGAAAAAATAAATATATTTTGACATACAATATGGTCCTAGTAAATTTTTGAAACTTTGATGATGTTCAGGTACGAGATGAAACTGGAACTGCAACAAGTCCAAAATGACAGATTGGACTTAAATAGTTCTATCAGATTTAAGCTCTTGACAAAAAGGAGACGTGTTTTGATATACTACATGATAAGTATTTAATAGGAAAAAATATTGGTCCACAAGTAGTACTGTTCAAAATTTTGACAGTCCATAACTCTTGCTAGTTATATCCGATTCCAAAAATTTTTACGGGACGAAATTGGACGTAATTAGGAGATCAGTTTTGATATATAATATGTATAATTAAAATTAATTTCGTAATTGGTTCCCGCTGAAAAAGTGAAGTTGGCGGGAAAGATACTCAAATATTGAAAGTGGTATATCCAGTCATAGGAAGTAGGACGAAAATATTTAATTACGGGACGTAAATGGACGTAATATGGACGTAATTCTGACAAAGTTTCAACTTGTTCTGAGAACCTGTTCCCGCCAGCTTCACACACACCCCTAAAATGCAGATAGTACTGCCAAGATGCAGATGGTGCTGCTAAAGTGAAGATGAAATTTATTTTCCCTAAAATGCAGATGAAATGCTGTTGCTTTAAAAAAGGTATAACACAGACCTCAATCTAAAAATCCCTAAAATGCAGCTACCCTAAAATGCAGATAGTAATGCCAAGATGCAGATGGTGCTGCTAAAGTGAAGATGAAATTTATTTTCCCTAAAATGCAGATGAAATGCTGTTGCTTTAAAAAAGGTATAACGCAGACCTCAATCTAAAAATCCCTAAAATGCAGCTACCTAAAAATGCAGATAGTACTGCCAAGATGCAGATGGTACTGCTAAAGTGCAGATGAAATTTATTTTCCCTAAAATGCAAATGACATGCTGTTGCTTCAAAAAAGGTATAATGCAGATATTTTTATCGTATAAAGTGCAGATAAGATGCTGCCTAAATGTAGATCGTATAATTTCATTAAAATACATCAATATTCGATGACTTTTTTTCTTGATGCGTGTTAATAACTTTAAATGATGCATGATGAAATTTAAGGGTAATTATTTTGTCTGACGACATATTTATGTATATATTGGGTCGAGTATCCTTTTTATGAGCTCATCTATATATCTTGCAAAAATGTTACATGTCGGTCAACAACAAAACTATATATTCGATATATTCGATATATTCGCACCGTACCATCAAAAGTCTTATGGATAGACAGAGATTTGTTCAGCATAAGTTTGAAGGTATAAATCCTGACGAACCAAGGTATAGAGGACGAAGGTATAAAGCTAGCGTATCAATTGAGCTTCTCTCAGCATATGTGTGAAGGGTTTAAACTTAACGAGCATTCTTTAAAAGTTTTTAAAAAAAAAATTTCATCCAAAGTTTAATTTTATAAAAATCACAGTAAACTTTTGTTTTAAAACATTCGTAAGAAAAGAAAGTTTTCTGCCTTTTCAGAAGCAACGGCTGTTCCTCCCTTGCCCAAAAACAATACAGCTCTTCTATAGAGCAGCACGGATCAAATGTTTAAAACTAGAAGTCTCTACGAGGTCTCGTTATTGAGATTTCTTGCTTGCTTGCTTGTTTGCTTACAGAAAGCGTATTTTGCGATTTTCTCAGCAATGCCTCAATCAATTTGAAATCTGATTTTTGAAAAAGATGTAAAATTTCAGGCACAAACTTTTCTTTTAAGACCTTTTATAACCAATTTTGCTTCGTTTTCTCACAAAATGCGAAAAACTGATTTTTCAATCTGAACAAAACCAATAGATTATTACGTGAAAACGATGTGAATATAAAAAATACATTTGCAGATATATCAATGAAAGCTGACAAAGTTATAACAAAATTTATAAAAATTATTCGTGAGTGACGCTTAATTAATGTGATTTTCCGACATAACTCCTTAACTTTAGAAAATAAGTTCTATGAAAAAAGAAATCGATTTTTGTTTTCTACAAGATAAAATAACTTTGAAATTTGTCACTATTGTGGTTTCGGAGATATTAAAGAAATCATAGCGTCACTCACGAATAATTTTTTTTCGTCGGGCCCGAATCATTAATATCCAACGGTAAATTATCTGCATTAAAACAGCATTTCATATTTATTTTATAAAAACTATACGATCTACATTTAGGCAGCATCTTATCTGCACTTTATACGATAAAAATTATCTGCATTATACCTTTTTTAAAGCAACAGCATTTCATCTGCATTTTAGGGAAAATAAATTTCATCTTCACTTTAGCAGCACCATCTGCATCTTGGCAGTACTATCTGCATTTTAGGGCAGTTGCATTTTAGGGATTTTTAGATTGAGTTGAACTTGACATTCATATTCATAACCTTGTCATAAATAAATCCATTTATTGAAATTCAGAACAAGCAAAATCAATGGCATTTCCAACATATGTATACCTCCTGAAAGTAAAATATTTAAACATGAAATATAAAAAAAATCATTTTTTGTGTTTTTCATAATTTTTTATTGATTTTTCTTTTTTTTTGCCATTCAACCTCACATATTTTAAAAAATAAAAATATGCAATTTCGTGTTTATTTTTTTCTCCATTTTAAACTTAAAATTAAAGTTTTTTTTTATCATTTTTTAAATTTGAAAATTAATTTTTACTTCACTAATTTTTCTTCAATTTTTATTCGCTGTAAGTAATAATTTATTCATGTACTCTTCATTTAGGTTTAGTTTTTTTCTTAACTCAAATATTTTCCTTATTTTTTTTTTGGTTTTTTACATTGTATTTTTTTTTTTGTTGTTGTTTGTTTATATCCTATGCAATGTTTTAATAATAATCATTTATTTACTAATTTTTTTGATCATCATCATTGAATGAAATTGGGGAGCAATGTGGGGTGATTTTTCTTGAGAGAAGGAATTTTTTGGAGAGAATAGCAATAATGTGTGAGTGATTTCATTCTATCATTAAAGAACATTGAATTTATATTATCATTATTATTATTCTTATTACTTCTCATCAAAGGAATTTTCTTCAATTTTTTTAATGTTAAATTCATTATCCTTATTATTCAATGGGTGATGCTTTTTCACATTTCAATTATAACTATTATTTATTTATTTTTTTATTCATAACCATTTAATTTTTCTTAAGTTATTTTATTTAAAATTTCTTCATCATCTTAATTTTTTTTTCTTATTGCAGTTTCTCATTTTCATCAACTAAAGTTAATCTTGTTTTGTTTTTCATCAATTAAAGTTTTAGAGTTCAAAAAATAGTGTTTTCATTTAAATTTTTAATTTTGATCCTGTACTTATTTAATGGGGAGTTTTGCTTGTTGATCATGTTAGATGTTTCAATTGTGTCAAACTTATTTGTTTTTTATTATAATTTTGACACTATTCAATAGAAAATTTCAAATCAAACTAGTTTCATTTACTGGTATTGACTTAATGCG